AACCATATTTTATACCGTCTCTTAATGATGCATGTTTTTATGTAGCCTTATTTTTAACAGAGAAGTATATGCAGTACTGATTTTGATTTTGTTATAATTAATTTATAAACAATTTGTAATCTTCATAGGTTTGTGACTGCATCCAAAGCCATTTTGATGACAAGAGGTCTTCAGAGGATTGTTGCCCGATATCAAAGAAATCCCTCCAGCTTTGACCCTGTTAAAAAACTAGTGGATTCCCTGATGTCAGAAATGACTAGGTTTGGCAAAGTGGAACACATCGAACAGCTTGCTGATGCTACTTACTACAACTTCTAAGACGTCAGATGCTATGATGGAGATGCGGGCCTACCTTGCAGAGCCACTCTTACCCCGCACATCAGACCCTCTGGCCTGGTGGAGGAGATGTTCACCAGTATACAAAACACTTTCTGAGGTCACGAAGACAAGACTTTGCACTGTGGCCACATCTGTGTGTGCCATCTGAAAGAATTTTTTCTAAAACTGGGCCGATTATCTCAGAGAGAAGAAATAGACTCAGCCCATCCAAGGTCCGGGAGCTTGTGTAACGGGGCTGACGAGACGTGAGACGTGCGGATCCATATGCAAAGCTTTATTTGGAGAAGACAGAGACATGGTCATCAGACAGGCAGGGTAATCAGTGGCAACCAAGAATATGGCGGGCAAGACATAAGAATAGTCACAGGGCTAGCGTGGGTCGACGATCAGACAGAGTCACAGGGGCAAGGCTAAAGGAAGAAGTCCAGGAAAACAGGCGAAGATCAAAACCGAAGGAGACAGACAAGGCTAGGCAAAACTAGGCTAAGGCTAAGGCTAGGAAACGACCGAGGGCTCTGTAGTGTAGCTATCGCTAGGGGAGCGATAAACGCTAAACAATACTCGAGATCAACACCGAAGGAAACAGACAAGGCAAGGCAAAACTAGGCTAAGGCTGAGGCTAAGGCTAGGGCTAAGGCACGACTGAGGGCTCTGTAGTGTAGCTATCGCTAGGGGAGCGATAAACGCTAAACAATACTCGAGATCAACACCGAAGGAAACAGACAAGGCAAGGCAAAACTAGGCTCAGGCTCAGGCTCAGAAAAACGACCTAGGGCTCTGTAGAGTAGCTATCGCTAGGAGAGTGATAATCGCTAGTCAATACTCAGCAGAGGGAAGGAAAAAGGTAATTTGTTAAGGTTATTAGGCTCTGTGGCTTTAGTATCTTTTAATTTTCATTTATTTTTTAATTAAAATTGTTTAAAATTAATTTGGGAAGTTATCCTCTTTGATATAAAGTTTTTTTTTTGGCACAGAAGTGCTATTTATTTTAAAGCTTATTCATTTTTAATTATTAGAAAAAAAGCCTAGCTTGTTGTGCAATATTTAGTTTTTTATATATTGTAATTTTAAAGTTAATTTGTTAGACTCGGTGGCTTTAGTATCTTTTCATTTTCATTTCATTTTTTTATTTTGGAATAGTTATCCCCTTTGCTATAAGACTCAGTGGCTTTAGTATCTTTTCATTTTCATTTCATTTTTTAAAAATGTTTTATTTATTTATTTTGAAATAGTTATCCTCTTTGCTATAAAGCTTTTCTGGCACAAAAATAAACAATAAACAACAATTCAAAAGTGTGTACACGGCGTTTCTAATGTTTATAAAGTGGCATATGTTACAAACGTATAGTTTACACAGACAATCTGCTTTATTAAATAACTGCGCAATTAAGTTATCAAGCATAAAAGTTATTTAGTTATCGAGTATCATTGGTAAGTACATGTGACTTTTCAGTTAAAAACAACTTGTAAACATTGAAGGTAATTTATAATGGACTAAACATATAGTGAGTGACTCAAAAATGTTTCATAAATCCTAAATAAGTAACACTACAGTTCTATAGTCTAATCTGAAGGGTTTACTGAAAAGACATAAATCACACAACAAGGTATTTTATGAAGATTAGAATCCACTGTAAAAAAAAAAAAAATCTCTTCTTTATCAAAGTGATTTCGCCATCATATGGACAAAATTTAAAGCATAATTTTGACAGACAGACACACTGCTGCTTACCTGGCAAGTGAGCTGACAAGAGTTACAAATGAATGGGGTGTGGGTGACAAAATTGTAGCTTGTGTCACAGACAATGCCAGCAACATTGTTTCAGCCCTGAAAGACCATCTCCACTGGGACCACATACCTTGTTTTGCCCATATGCTGAACCTCATTGTCAGAGCTGCATTGAAGGAGGTCCAAGCAATATTGCAAAAGGTCAAGACAATAGTTGAATACTTCCATAGAAGTACAGTTGCTTCAGACAAGCTCAAGGCCACACAAAAACAGATGGGTCAAGAGCCGTTGCGGTTAAAACAGGATGTGGCCACAAGGTGGAATTCAACATATTACATGTTGAAAAGATTTACTGAAATCAAAGATCCAATCATCTCCACCCTGGCTCTAACTAATGCATCTCTGCCAACTTTGTCGCCAGAGGAATGGAAAATTTCCAGTGAAATCTTGGACATTATTAAGCCATTTGAGGAGGTCACCACTGAAGTGAGTGCAGAAAAGTAAGTAGTTCAACATTTTTTATTATTATTCATTTTAAAACCATATTTTATACCCTGTCTCTTAATGATGCATGTTTTTCTGTAGCCTTATTTTTAACAGAGAAGTATATGCAGTACTGATTTTGATTTTGTTATAATTAATTTATAAACAATTTGTAATCTTCATAGGTTTGTGACTGCATCCAAAGTCATTTTGATGACAAGAGGTCTTCAGAGGATTGTTGCCTGATATCAAAGAAATCCCTCCAGCTTTGATCCTGTTAAAAAACTAGTGGATTCCCTGATGTCAGAAATGACTAGGAGGTTTGGCAAAGTGGAACACATTGAAAAGCTTGCTGATGCTACTTGCCTGGACCCAAGGTTCAAAAAGCAAGCTTTTGTCAATCACCAGGCAGCAGAAGAGACAGTAAAGAGGGTTACAGCAGCTGCAGCAGCTATTAACCCAGCTCAGAGTGAGGAGGAGAATACTTCAGATCCTGGTGCGGCTGCCAGTGCAGGGGCCATGTTTTGGGAAGACTTTGACGAGAGGGTAGCAAGCTTGAGGCCTTCTGCTACCACTTCTAAGACGTCAGATGCTATGATGGAGATGCGGGCCTACCTTGCAGAGCCACTCTTACCCCGCACATCAGACCCTCTGGCCTGGTGGAGGAAATGTTCACCAGTATACAAAACCCTTTCTGAGGTCACGAAGACAAGACTTTGCATTGTGGCCACATCTGTGCCATCTGAAAGAATTTTTTCTAAAACTGGGCAGATTATCTCAGAGAGAAGAAATAGACTCAGCCCATCCAAGGTCCGGGAGCTTGTTTTTTTGAATGCAAACATGCCTTAAAGCAAGTCCTAAAAATATAGCCACAGTGTGTTATTTATTTTAAAGCTTATTTATTTTTATTTATTTAAAAAAATCTTAGCTTGTTGTGCAATATTATTATTATTATTTTTATTATGAATGTAAAGGTAATTTGTTAAGGTTATTAGGCTCTGTGGCTTTAGTATCTTTTAATTTTCATTAATTTTTTTATTTAAATGGTTTAAAATTAATTTGGGAATAGTTATCCTCTTTGATATAAAGTTTTTTTTTTGGCACAAAAGTGTTATTTATTTTAAAGCTTATTCATTTTTAATTATTATTAAAAAAAGCCTAGCTTGTTGTGCAATATTTAGTTTTTTTTATATTGTAATTTTAAAGTTAATTTGTTAAGGTTATTAGACTCAGTGGCTTTAGTATCTTTTAACAATTCAAAAGTGTGTACACGGCGTTTCTAATGTTTATAAAGTGGCATATGTTACAAACGTATAGTTTACACAGACAATCTGCTTTATTAAATAACTGCGCAATTAAGTTATCAAGCATAAAAGTTATTTAGTTATCGAGTATCATTGGTAAGTACATGTGACTTTTCAGTTAAAAACAACTTGTAAACACTGAAGGTAATTTATAATGGACTAAACATATAGTGAGTGACTCAAACATGTTTAATGAATCCTAAATAAGTAACACTACAGTTCTATAGTCTAATCTGAAGGGTTTACTCAAAAGACATAAATCACAGAGCAAGGTATTTTATGAAGATTAGAATCCACTGTAAAGAAATAAAAAGTATCTCTTCTTTATCAAAGCTTATGGGGCTGCCACGTGATGAACGAACGACTCAAACCCGAAGACTTGTAACAGGTGAACTAACTCCAGTACAGAACCTATAGGATGCTGCGCATGCGCGACTGAACGAATCACTCCCCGAGACGACTCGTTCTTCCGAGTCACATTAAAGATTCGTTCAAATGAACGACCCGACACTATTCTGACTGTGCGTTCACACCGCCGGCGGCGAGAGCGTCAAAATTCGCTCTGGCTGCCCTGTAGACGCTCCACGATCGGTCTTTATTTAAAGGGGCCGCAAACATACCAAACAAGCGTTCTGATCTTGTGCAGACTTACCACAAAAAGGGTATAACCTTATGATATATCTTAAATGTGAAAGTAAAAAAAATATGAATGGAAAGAACTTAACAATATACTTACATGTTTGCTAACGAAATAAACCAATTAAAAGCTATTTGTGTGGCTTGGCTTTTGTGTTCTCATTTCAATATTTTAAATGTATTAAAAAATGTATGTAAAAATTTTTTTTTATATATATATATATTTATTGTATTCGAACCAAAGTTTACAGGACTGCGTTCTCTGGGACCCTCTCAAGCGGAGGAATTCTACATTCCGATTGGTTGCCGCCCAACAGCGTCATAGTTCATTACCATAAAGTTGAACTGATTTCAACTCTCCTTGACGCCCTCGCCGCCCGCTCACATTGAAAATTAATGTCTTCCGGTCACTTTGACGCTCTCGCCGCCGGCGGTGTGAACGCACAGTGAGGCGAGGCGAGCAGCTCACGGTGTTTCTCACATTTACACAACCATCAAACACACTCATTTCTGTACTGTTTACCATCAAGCACACGGGTTCTGGCGTCTTACTTAAATATGCATTTACTGAAGCAGGTATGGAATGTTTTTATTAATCAGAATATGAAGTATATGTAATGTAGCCAATGAAGGATAATCAATAGCCTTTCATGTGCACAAGTTATGTTCCTATTACACTCGTAATGTAACGTTAGTTGTCTGAATGCAGAGGACTGTAATGGCGCCTTTCCACTGCAGTTTAGTACTGTTTAAGATTATTACTCCTGAAATACTTGTCGTCGTCCCATCAAGCTCCTCGGCTTTCGTTTGAAACTGTTGCGTTCGTTCAAAAAAAGTTAAATGTAGCTTTTTGTCTAGTGTCGGGTCGTTCTTGAACGATTCGTTCATTTTGAACGAATCTTTAATGTGACTCGGTTAGAACGAGTCGTCTCGGGGAGTGATTCGTTCAGTCGCGCATGCGCAGCTTCCTATAGGTTCTGTACCTGTCTCGAGTCTTCGGGATTTCCGAGTCGTTCGATCATCACGTGACAGCCCCTTAAGCTTAACCTATGCAGTCTGAGCCGGAAAGAGACTTAATAATAATAACCAACTCTTTATTTCCTTTGTTACAACATTCAGAGAACCGTCATGACAGAAATGCACACATTTAGAAACTGTAAGAAGTAAAAAGCTACAATTTGAGACCAGAAACGCGTCGCGTAACTGTAAACAATGAATTAATATTTTCTGTTTCTTATTGCAGTGTTGTATTGTTTGTAGTGTGATCAACGTTTGCGTGAGTCGTAGACGTGTTAGGGAAGTAACACGTAACATTTTAATTATATTTTGCTGAAATGAACGAAATGACTCGGGGAAAAAAAGATTCGTTCATTTTGCTGAACGAGACTCAGAGGCCCGAGTCGGTAAAATTATCCGAACTTCCCATCACTAATTGTGTCCAGTGTTGCCAACTTAGCAATTTTGTTGCTACATTTAGCAACTTTTCAGACTACCCTAGCAACGTTTTCTTCCAAAAGCACCTAGCAACAAATTTAGCGTTTTTTTTTATTTATTTGGCAGCTTTTAGCAACTTTTGATAAGTGACTCAAACGATAAAAAGGGACAATTTACCATTTAAATGACACAAAAAGAGGAAACCGAAGATGCCTAGCAGTACACACGTTACAGGAATTAAGTTAGCTGCTATTTGCAATTGTTTAATAGTAATAATAAAAATAATACTTGACTACTGTTATGTTTCATTTATGAGACACTTTGTTAGTAGCTTGTACCGGCGATTGTTGATGAGTTAGTACACTGTAAGAAAACTATGCAGAAAAATCATTTTCCAGGACATATTATCCTTGTTATATTATGTATTTGTAATATTTAAATGTTTTAGTTTTGAAATGTTGTATGCATTTGCCATTCTATTTAATTTCTTTTCTTTTCTTAAAAGCGTTTAGCTTTTAGTTTTAATTACGTTTTCTTATTTGTGTATGTTTGAATTGTTTTTAGCTTTATTTTTTTTGTTTTCATTTAAATGTTTTAGTTTTGAAATGTTGTATGCATTTGTCATTTTATTTAATTTATTTAATTTTCTTAAATGTGTGTGTATATATATATATATAGTATTTACAGAGTTTTAGCTTTTAGTTTTAATTACGTTTTCTTATTTGTAAGTCGCTTTGGATAAAAGCGTCTGCTAAATGACTAAAAGTAAAGTAAAGTAAAGAAAAATGGAAAAGGTGCTAGTGATTTTCCAGGACGTTATCCGTTATCCGTTGTAACCCGAAAACACAAAATACAATGCGTAATTAAATATGCAGGTACAAAAACCTGTGGAAAAATCAATCCAGAAAACTCCTGCATATTAACACAGTAGATTGTGCATTATTTGTTTACTTTTCTTAGAGTGCGGCATACTAACTAATAAACTGCTTTAAAGTATAAAACGTAAATTGTAATCGTTCAAAAATGTGTGCGTTTGCAATAATTCAATGGATTTAAAAATAGTTATTTATATTTTAATATTATATTACGCATTTATATTGCTACGAACAAATCTAATTTAACGTATATAAAATATATATATGTTTTTCCTGAGATTTGACACAATTTTGCATCGTGATTACGTAATGACGTCACAACATCTTTTAGCAACAAATCAACCTTCCTTTAGCAACTTCCCCTGAAAATTAGTTGGCAACACTGGTTGTGTCTCGTGTAGCAAGTTCAGTGACGCAGGTGGTGACGATCAGAGCATGTGAGCGAAGCGGAGCGGTGTGTACACCAGGTACTGTACACAGTGGAAACCCCCCAAAAGCGATCCGTGCTGCCCCGTACCATGCAGTGGAAAAGCGCCATAGGTTTATGGAGTGTGAAGCTCCTCCTCACCTGTCCACTTCTTAAAATAAAGACTGCAAATAGTGGCATGCAAGGAATGCTGCTGCAGTGGATGGTATGCATATATAGGAGCATGAAGCCCGACTCCACAGTTGCTCTGCAGACCGACTCCACAGCTCAAGACTGAGAGAGATTTTTCACAGAGCCAGAAGAAATCTACAGCTCAGGCAGCGAGCATGTGAGGAAAATATGTTTGGTTCATTCAGACCGGAGCGATTTTGTGTTTGAGAGATCTGTGAGGGGAATCGATCTCGAGTGTTGCTGCTGTGATTTTATTTCTACTCTCTAGACTTATTTGGATTACATTGGTTAGTTATTTTACATTAAATATACTGGAACGGATCATGCTTAATACTTTACACTGAGCCTATAACGAGCCAAGCAAGATATGTCACATCTATGTATAAATGTTGATATTGATAAATATGAATCTATTTTGACACTGTTTCACTCTTTATTTTTAGATGGAATATTGTCAGTTTCTGTGCATAGAAACCTGTAACATGATCCAGTTACTTTATTGCAGTGAATGTAGTTATTAGAAAGCCGAGCTATATTTAGATTCATATGGACATATTATTGTGTTGTAGTTATTTGCCTGAAGGGGTCAGTTTCTTCTGTTTAATTATTGATCAGTCAATCATAGCCTGTGGTAACTCAGTACTTAAACTCTATTGGCCACAACCAGGACGTATGAAGCATGTGTAATCATACGTATACATGTTTCACATTGTTGACAGATGTTTCAATGAGATTTTTATAAATTTTTTTTAACAATTGCAATGGCAGGACATCGAAAATGTAAAGAATGCAAGCTGTGTAGAATATTTTTATTTATCAAAATATAAATTAATCATTCAAAGTGAATATAGCCATTTATGTATCAAGGTATTTTACTGTTATAATCATGTGTTTGCCTGCGTGTACAGAAGCCTGCATGAGTTTGTGTTTACATGTGATGAAGTTGCACGTCCTGTTTTGACATTTAGACAAAATATATGACGGGGCCTCAGTTCTGTGATTTCTCACCACAGCTGATACCCAAACACAGGATTGAACGTTTACGTCCAAGCCTCGCTTTATATGTGGAAAAATTTACATTCTATTATTTTCTCAATTCTATACAGATCTTTTTGTATGTTAATACAGAGGGCAGAATGGAAAAAAAATATGGATATAAAAATTAACAATAGAAAGACGGACAAAACAGAAATGCATAGAATGTGTGAATTAACACGTGAGTGCAGTGTTATTTATTAATTTTTTTAAATAACGTTTTAAACTGATGTGCTCTTTGTGTCGACGCTGTTACTTTTAATATAGTAATATAATGATTTACAAAGACAACACTGTATTTGTAAGGCTCTGGTCTCTTCTGCTTCAAGTACATAAATGCTTAAATGTGTAAATTACACTCTAAAAAATGCTGGGCTGTTTCAACCCAACTTTGGGTCAAATATGGACTAACCCAACTTTTGGGTTAAAAATGTAATGTGAAAATGTAACCCAACGGTTGGGTTAGTCCATATTTGACCCAAAGTTGGGTTGAAACAACCCAGCATTTTTTAGAGTGTAATTAAAAAAAGTGTAAATTAGTATATATATTAAAAAAAAAATCTTTGAAACTGATTTATTGTTGATTTTAGGAAATCTGCTTCTTCTGCGGTGGCTTCTGCCGCTTCTGTGAGAAATCATTCTCGAAGTCTTGAGGTTTTGATGCCAGAAGATAGACTTTTTATTATCAATTTATTATTATCATTATTAGACAATGAAGCCAAGAAACAAGCGTTTGTCTGCACACTGTTTTTCCTCAAGGAAAAACTAATTTCATACATTGTCGTTATTATTTATCATCTTTTTTTTTTCTTTTTTTGGCTGTGCCTCCAGTCTGTTATTAGGAAGTAGACAGGAGACCTCGATTTATGTTCAGTGAAGCGAGGAGGCCTCGTCATATATTTTGTCTAATGTCCAAATAGGAATTGCAGCTTCACCATAAAATGTATTTTTGTAATGCCTTCACATTCTCCCGCAGGCCTCCATACACACAGGCAAACACATGATTGTAATAGTAGAATAACGTGAGACATAAATGGCTATATTCACATTGATTATACTTAATTAATTCACATTTTGACGAATGAAAATCCTCTACACTTCCAGAAAGAAATTCCTGTTCGGGGAAGCTCCTCCCACAAACCCTGCAGAATGAAACACACTGAAGATACTGAAGAACAAACAGGTTGGTGTTTATCCTTGATTCCTCATTCATTCGTGATGCTGAAGAACCTTCATGTTACCAAGATTCAAAGCACTTCAAATAATTCTTAGTGCATTCCAGGGAATTATTCATGGTTTATATGGTAAATTAAATGGGGAGAGCAGACCACAAATGCACAGTACATGTTGTCTTTTTTCTTTTATTTACAATACAAGTAAGTAAAATACTTATTGTATGAAATACTTATTGTATAAAATACTTACAATACTTCTTTTCTAATACAAAGAAAACATGAAAATTATCAGGAGGAAAATAATGCAGTGAGCTGGAAAGAGCTATTCATTCATTATTCATTAATCTACCAAACGTAACGTTAAGTCAATCTTGTTATTCAATTCAATCTAACGTGCAATCTTATGATTTGTTGCAATCTTTTTGAGTGGAACTTCATGATTCAGACACACTTTGGTCCAAGTGTTGGGAACATTTAGTTTTCAAAAGCATCCTGCAAGAAAAATAAATGTTAGTAATGATTAATAAAAAAATGTAATATACCTCATTCATGGGAAGTTTCATGGACATACTCATTTTATTAAAATTATTGTTGTATTTTATAGCAATTGTCTATTACTTCAGTGCTTACTTTAATGTTTTTTTCACTTTATATTTCTCTCTGAATTATTTTGAAATCCTGAAAATTAAATTATTATTATTTTTTTAATTTTGTTTCAGACCTGATGGAAGAGAACGAGGTGAGTGAAGAACTGAGTGAAGTGGAGGAGAAACAAGACAAACCTGGAGAAAAACATTTGAGTCGCTCAAAGACTAAAAAGACATTTTTAAAGAAAAGAAGAGCCAAGAAATCTCTCACCTGCACTCAGTGTGAAAAGAGTTTCTCAAGGAAATATAATCTTGAGCTTCACATTAGAGTTCACACTGGAGAGAAACCGTTCACGTGTGATCAGTGCGGGAAGAGTTTCACACAATCATCAAACCTTAAAGGACACATGAGAATTCACACCGGAGAGAAGCCGCACACTTGTGTTCAATGTGGGAAGAGCTTCACAGGAAAACCAGACCTTAAACAACACATGCGAATCCACACTGGAGAGAAGCCACATACATGCGATCAGTGTGGGAAGAGTTTCACACGCGAAACAAGTCTTGAGCTTCACATGAGGATCCACACTGGAGAAAAGCCTTTCAGCTGTGAAAAGTGCGGGAAGAGTTTCACACAAAAAATACATCTTAGGCAGCACATGAGGATCCACACTGGAGAGAAACCATACCCATGCGATAAATGTGGGAAGAGTTTCACGAATTCATCGCACCTTATGAGTCACATGAGGATCCACACCGGAGAGAAGCCGTTCATGTGTGATCGCTGTGAAATGACATTCTCACACAAACACAATCTTGATCATCACATGAGAGCTCATACTGGAGTGAAGCCGTTCATGTGTGATCAGTGTGGGAAGAGTTTCATGGACTCTTCAAAACATAAAAGACACATGAAGGTCCACACCGGAGAGAAGCCGTTCACGTGTGATCAGTGCGGGAATAGCTTTAAAGAAAAAATAGACCTTAAAAAACACATGAGGATCCACACTGGAGAGAAGCCTTACGCATGTGATCAATGTGGGAAGAGTTTCACAGATTCAGCGTACCTTAAGATTCACACGAGGATCCACACCGGAGAGAAGCCGTTCGGGTGTGATCAGTGTGAAAAGAGATTCTCAATTAAAAGTAGACTTCAATTTCACATGAGAATCCACACCGGAGAGAAGCCATATGCATGTGATCAATGTGGGAAGAGATTCCCAATCAAAGCAAGTCTTGAGCTTCACATGAGGATCCACACGGGAGAGAAGCCGTTCATGTGCGAACTGTGTGAAAAGAGATTCTCAATTAAAAAAAATCTTAAACTTCACATGAGGATCCACACCGGAGAGAAGCCGTTCACATGTGATCAGTGCGGAAAAACATTTTTCTGGGCATCAAACCTGAAGAAACACCTGACAGTTCATACGAAGGAGAAGCCGCATTCATGTTCTGTGTGTGGAAAGAGTTTTTCACTGCTGCAAAGTTTAAAAGAACATCAGAAAATACATACTGGTGTGAAGGAGTACATGTGCTTTGAGTGTGACAAGACTTTTATTTCAGCTGGACATTTGAAACTGCACCAGAGGATTCACACTGGAGAGAAACCGTACAAGTGTTCACACTGTGACAAGAGATTCAGTAGTTCAGCACATATGAGAAGACATGAGAGGATCCACAGGAGAGAGAAACCGCACACGTGTGATCAGTGCGGGAGGGGTTTTGCTTTTAAAAGTCACCTGAAGACACACATGAGGATCCATGAAACCGCTTAGTGGAGAAAACCGTTCGTTTCCTAATAGTCATGATGAGTGACAGGGTGTTGGTTGATTGGTATTTGTTACCTCCCGTTCACACCAGCACGACTGTTCGGAACAAAAATTCAGTCCAATTTTCACATGAGATATGTCGTCAGACTAATGCAATAAACAGCAGTAAATGCACATTCACTCTCCGTTCATGTGTGATCAGCGTGTCAAGACTTTCATGGACTCTGCAAAACATAAAAGACACGTAAAAATCCACACCGGAGAGAATCTGTTCACATGTGATCAGTGTGGGAAAAGCTTCAAATCAAAAACAGACCTTAAGAGACACATGAAGATCCACACTGGAGAGAAGCCACATGTATGTGATAAATGTGGGAAGAGTTTCACAGATCAGTGCGGTAAACGGTTTCCTTGTGCTCTTCCACTTCTACTCCTCTTCTTCTCTTGAGATGCTTTGGCTCTTATAAGCAAAAAGAAAAAGATCTGTCTCATTTGGTACACTTGAACTTTTTTTTTGTATTTGCTTCAAGTAATGATTGATTTAACTCATGATTCCTTTTATTAACAACTCATTGGCTACGTTTACATGGACAAGTCTTCTCTTGAGATGCTTTGGCTCTTATAAGCAAAAAGAAAAAGATCTGTCTCATTTGGTACACTTGTACTTTTTTTTTTGTATTTGCTTCAAGTAATGATTGATTTAACTCATGATTCCTTTTATTAACAACTCATTGGCTACGTACCTTCGTGTAGGACTTTTCGCATTTTGCGACAGGATACACACACGGCAGTGCTCAACCGTTTGACGGCAAATAAAAGAGCCTCAACGCCGCCGTCGTCTGTATGCACGTACAAATAATTAACTGCACTTGAAGCTTTCATAAAATTAAAAAATGAAACACCCAAAACTGTACATGGCATCATCACGAAGACGAACTATATGTTTATACGTAACGTCGAATGGCATCACGTGGGGACGTAATGCCGTGTGCCATTAATTGAACTATGTACTATAACATGTGAAATGGGAACATGAAAGGAATATTCTAAAAGGACAGGATACACACACGGCAGTGCTCAACCGTTTGACAGCAAATAAAAGAGCCTCAACGCCGCCGTCGTCTGTATGCACGTACAAATAATTAACTGCACTTGAAGCTTTCATAAAATTAAAAAATGAAACACCCAAAACTGTACATGGCATCATCACGAAGACGAACTATGTTTATACGTAACGTCGGATGGCATCACGTGGGGACGTAATGCCGTGTGCCATTAATCGAACTATGTACTATAACATGTGAAATGGGAACATGAAAGGAATATTCTAAAAGCAACTCATGTAAACACCATAATCATAATATTGGCTTATTTAGAATAAGGTAAATAATTAGATTACTGATGTGCATGTAAACGTAGTCATTGTTATTGTCCATTTTTTATTTTATGCTCATTCTGTTTGTATCAGGAATAGTTTTAGTTCTGAAAGCCATGATGTTGCCTATTGACCTTTTACACATTTCATGGTTTCTCAGCAGCGAAGTCGTCATAGTTGGGTAAACTTCTGTGGCAGTGAATGGGAGACTACCATAAATATTAATTTTTTTGCATTCCTATTTGCTCAAATAGTGAAAAAAAAACTCCACTGATGGAGTGGATGTTGATCTACCATGGCCTTCATAATAAAATCAATTATATCTTAGATCTTATTTGATTATTAATCAAGTTATTAATCAGTATTTAACCTCATAGAGTGTAGTTGATTGAATAAAGTTATTAGTTACCACATATTATTAGTAAACGCAAAGAAATGTATGCATACTGCTGTTGGAATGTGTCTGTATCCCTTTAAAGTGAAGAAACGGGCCTCTCCATATGTGAACTTTGGCTTTCTCCTCTCCGGTTCAATTGGTCACTGAATGCCTTGGCCATAGAGGTCATTGGGGCCTCTTGCCTACGTGACCAACGTGTACCCCAAACATTTAGGTGGTTTTATGTCTATGTAAAATAATATGCTGAATATGGTCTGAATCTTCTCCCTCTTTCTCTCTCAAGGAAGAGACTCCCTGACTGTGTGTAGCTGATAAGAGTAATAACATAGCTACCCGACCTTGACGGAGATCAGTGTTGCTCTATGTATGTGTGTTGTTATCTGTTTGCAAAGGACCAGTTGATACCAGTCTTCAGGGAGATTCACAAACGGCACCCATGCGTAAAGACCATATGGATTTGGATATCTTCCGTCACCCTGGTGTCCGGGTGGCAGATATACGTCTTAGGAGAAGAATGTTGTGTGTGACCTCTAATCACTTGTCATCTAAATAACCTTCGGAGATAAGCTTTATCAATTTTATGTGCATCTGTTAAGAGTTTACTTGTTTTTCCGTAAACTGACCAATCAGAATCCGTTTCACCTATGTATTGACGTAATTACTGACCTATGTTAGAGTATAATTACTGGTGTTGTTAACATGTACGCAGAGCGGCCTACGAACTCTTTGTGAATGTTGAAGCTGACTTCTGCTGATGAAACTGCAAACTATTTTCTTCAGTAAATTTAACTTCAGTTGATTGCATCTCTGACTCCTGGTCTTCATTCAACACACCTGGGGCCTCATGTACAAAGAATTGCGTTGAATTCATACTAAGACATTGCGTACGGACAAAAAAAATCAGATGCATGAATCTCTGTGTATGCAGGATCCCAAGCATATTCTCTTTGTACATCCCAATTAACGTGAAATTGAGCGCACATGCACGAGCACAACACCCCGCCCCGTCTCCTCCCTCAATTATATAAATTTTAATGTGGTAATGAGTCCACTTTGGCAAAAGCAAGCAGCAAGAAACGAAACTTTACTGAAAGTGAATTGGAGGTGCTACTATCAGAGGTAGAAACGAGAAAACATATTTTATTGGGATCTTTGTCCTCTGGAATTAATAACAAAAGAAAAAACAATGAGTGGGACAGTTTGGCTGATGCTGTCAACGCAGTGGGATCGGAAAATCGCACTAAATGAGCTTAAAAAGAAATGGTCTGATATAAAGGTGGAAGTTAAGCGGAGAACTGCTGCGCACCGACAAAGTGTGGGCAGAACAGGCAGTGGTACAGGGGTCGATTAACTTACACCCTTTGAGCAGAGAGTTGCCTCTATTGTGGGCGACACTTTACTCTCCGGAGTAGTATCCATTGCGGTGGGAGACTCGGATTTACAGGACTGCCATGAAGGTAACTAATTTCTCATTTATTTGCTTAACTTTGGTACACATAGCTTACCAGACTGCATTTCATTTTCAAATGCATGCAATATAGCTTACCAAAAGTAGCCTACACCAGAGATTTTACATATCCATGGCATTTATAGCAAATGCGTGCACCCATTAATAAGGAACAGACTCAAATCAC